CTCAGCCTTCCTTCTTCCATGTGAGCTAACCACTCTTCTTCCTTATTCTGGGATTCTCCTTTCTCCCTGAGGTCACGTGCTTCCGCTTATGACTTGTGGGGTGGGATGGGACGGTAAAATATAATGTAGATTAACAAAGAAATCACTGCAGTCCCAGTGTTTTGTTTTGTTTTTGTTTTTGTTTTTGTTTTTGTTTTCAGTGGTTGGTTTAAATGTTGGCATGTGATGCAATTCTGGGAAGGGACATTTAAGGGCCTCTGGAGGAGCATTGAGAAGGATTTTGAAGCTCCTAAAAAGAGACACAGAGAAAATTCTCTTTCACTGCTCTAAATAAAGGTGTATGAGAATGTGCTATTTGGAATGGTTGCTACTATCTTTTTCCGTAAAAACGACAAAAGAGAATTTTGCCAACTCAGGAGAACTCGCCTATCTTTGGACTTCTTATACTATGAGAAAACATATCCTCTTACTGGTTAAGCCATTTTGAGTTTTCTGTTACTTGCAGATGAAAGCATCTTCCCTGATTCTGTAACATTGCCATTTGAAAAATAGAAAGTTAGGTGACTAGTATCTTTAACGTTTCTCCATCAGTTTTGTTTGCCTAAATTACAAGGCTTGTGGTCTAATTTTCTGTAATTTACTAAGATACAAGATATAGTAGGTAGTGATTTTCTCTTTCACAGATACTTAAGAACTTTAAGCAATCGTCCCTGATATAAAATGTTAGTTTACATCCTGGGTATATGTGCTGATTCAAACATCTGTCCCCGTATTTCACATCTCTCATGAGTTCTTTTGAAACCCCAGATTAATCTTTTCCAGCATTGATTGCACCTCCTATTCCTGCCCTTCTTGACCCAGAAGCCTTATCATTCCTGAGTGACCTTTTTTTTTTTTTTTCCCCCAAGCCAAACTGTATCCAGCTTTATTAAAGATACTTTCCATAAACAATCATGGTATTTCAGGCAGGACATGGGCAGACAGTTGTTAACAGTATACAACAACTTTCAAACTCCCTTCTTCAATGGACTACCAAAAATCAGAAAGCCACTATTAAACCCAATGAAGTCTTCATCTGATGGTCTGAACAGGGAAAGTTTAGAGTGAGGGTTGACATTTCACATTTAGCATGTTGTTTAACAACTTTTCACAAGCCGACCCTGACTTTCAGGAAGTGAAATGAAAATGGCAGAATTTATCTGAAGATCCACAATCTAGAAATGAAACCACTGCTGTTTTGACAGGTGCCATCTCAGTGGCATCACTGGAAAGTCCAGATTGCCTGACACACTGGTAACCAATGACTAGAGGTCAGGTCCCAACAGATGTCTGGGCTTAAGGGAGTTAAGTCTGTGCTGAAAGGTAGAAAGGGAGAAGAGGACATAAAAACAAACTTCTTTTTCCATACCACAAGGCTTTTGTGCCAAGGTGGCCATGTGTGTTAAAGTCAGAGAATCCCTCCTCCTGAGAGCCAAGAGGAAGTCTGTCAAAACTGGAAGGGAATGGTGTTTTCCCCACATCAATCCAGCTTTGAGACATTCTGTTAGTGACATATGCCCCTTTCCCCAAAAACAACAACGAAGTGTTTTGTGTGCTAACGACATAACTTTAAAAAAAAAAAAAGTAAAACAAAATTCTGCATTTTTATAAAACCTGATAAAAAATAGTATTTCAAACTGTACAGTCACCAGAAGTACACAGTTATCAAAAATGCACGCACTTCACTTGACATCTCCAGCACCTTCAGCTTTCTGTGCCTGGTCTGTTTTGGCATCTCCATTTTCTGCAGGGTTATTCCCCTCCTTGCCAGCATCAGCTTTTCCCTTTTTCCCTTTGGATACCTTCTCTCCCTTCTTTGCAGGGGCCTTTTTAGGCTTGGGCTCTGACTTTGGAGGAGCAGGTTTAGCAGACAACCTCGCGGATCTTCTCTGTGGTTCGTCCTTCACCTTGGCTTTATCTCCTTTAGCATCCCCTTCAGCCTTTCTCTTGGGCGTGGTGGCGACGCGGCGGGAGGTAGGAGCTGGACGCCAGAGGCAGCGCGCCCGGGCTTTGGTTGGTCCGGGGGTCGTTCTCGCTTCTTCTTCACACTGCTCCGACCTTCTTTAACTGAATCCTTTGTCACGTATTTTATGCCTGTTGCTCATGTTGTCATGGGTGTCGTCATGTCTGAGAATGATTTATGAAGCTTTAAGAAAAGATTCTCAAACCTGGCCCATCAGAATTTTCCCCAACATTAACTGAATCCAAATCTCTCTCTGGGTGATTCTGGTTTTCAACCATGTTTAAAAACCACTGACATAAGGGATATAAAAGAAAAATTGTACTGACCCAATCCCATAGCTAAAGTAAATGGTTTTAAATCTCACTTGACAAACTCACAAGTCTGTATTAGAGTCCTCCAGAGGGACAGAACCAATAGGATATATGTATATATATAAAAGAGAGTTTATAAGGGAGAATTGGCTCACAGGGCAAAGTCTCACAATAGGCCATCTGCAAGCTGGAGAGAGAGAAGCTAGTAGTGTGACTCGTTTGAAGTTCAAAAGCCTCAAAACCAGGAAAGCCGACAGTGCAGCCCTCAGTCTGAGGTGAAAGACCTGAGAGCCCCTGAGAGGCTGCTGGTACAAGTTCCCAGAGTCCAAAGGCCAAAGAGCCTGGAATCTGACATTCAACGGCAGGAGGAGATGGAGCAAGCGTCCTGCAAGGGAAAAAGAGTGAACAGACTCAGCAAGCTGCTTATCCTTCCTTCTGCCTGCTTTGTTCTAGTTTCTTCATTATTTTTTTTCTTTTTTTTTGAGACAGGATCTTGCTCTGTCACCCAGGCTAGAGTGCAGTGGCACGATCATGACTCACTGCAGCCTTGACCTCCCATGCTCAAGCCATCCTCCTGCCTTAGCCTCCTGTGTAGCTGAAACCACAGGTGTGCGCCACCATGCCTGGCTAATTTTTTTATTTTTTTTTGTAGAGATGGGGGCTTACTTTGTTGCCCATGCTGGTCTTCAACTCCTAGGCTCAAGTGATCCCCTTGCCTTGGCCTCCCAAGTGCTGGGATTATGGATGTGAGCCACCACACCCAGTACTCTTTAGGGTTTTCTAGTTGTAAGACCCTATTGTCTACAAGGAGACACATTAACTTCTTCCTTTCTGATTTAGATGCCTTTTTATTTCTTTTTTGCATAATTGCTCTGGCTAGATCCTCCAATACAGTCTGCCTTTCGTATCTGTGGGGGATTGGTTACAGGACCCCATACCAAAATCTGAGATTGCTGTAGTCCAGGCCAGGCACAGTGGCTCATGCCTATAATCTGAGCACTTCGGGAGGTCAAGGTGGGAGGATCACCTGAGCCCAGGAGTTTGAGACCAGCCCGGGCAACACAGTAAGACACCCATCTCTACAAAAAATAAAAAATTAGCCAGGCATTTTGGCATATGCCTGTAGTCCCAGCTACTCGGGAGGCTATAGTGGGAGAATTGCCTTAGCCCAGGAGATCAAGGCTGCAGTGAATTGTGATCATGCCACTGCATTCTAGCCTTGGTGACAAAATGAGACCCTGTCTCCAAATAAATAAGTAAAACATTTTTAAAAAGTAGAATGCTTAATGGTGTAGTACAGTTGACCTTGCATAACTGAGGATTCCACATCCACCAACAGTGAATTGAAAATATGTGTAATTGACCCTCTGATTCCATGGATGCAGAACCCATGAATATGGAGGGAAGACTACTATGTTGAATAGAAGTGAGGGCGCAACAAAGAGGTCATTCAAACACACAGTGAGATGGTTGCCACCCACAAGCCAAGAGAAGAGACCTCAGAGTGAGACCTTATCTTGCTGGCACCTTGATCATGAACTTCCAGCCCCTAGAACTGTGAGAAATAAATTTCTATTTTTTAAAACAAAAAACAAAAAAAGTGGTGAGAGTGGGCGTCCTTGTCTTGATCTTAGAGGAAAAGCTTTCAACTCTTTACTGCTGAGTATGATGTTAGCTTTTTATATATGGCCTTTATTGTTTTGAGGTTTCTTCTAAACCAAATTCATTGAGTTTTTATTATAAAAGGATGCTGAATTTTGTCAAATGCTCTTTATGCATCCATTGGAATGATTATGTGGTCTTTGTCTTCCATGTTATTAATGTGGTGTATCACATTTATTGATCTGCATGTGTTGAACCATCCTTGTATCCTAGGGATAAATCCCACTTGATCATAGTGAATGATCTTTTTATGTGCTATTGAATTTCATTTGCTGGTATTTTCCTGAGGATTTTTGCCTGTGTGTTCATCAAGGGTATTGGCCTGAAGTTTTCTTTTCTTGTAGTGTCCTTGTCTGGCTTTGGTATCTGGGTAATGCTGACCTTATGAAATGAGTTCTGAAGTATTCCCTCCTCTTCAGTATTCCCTCCTCTTCAGTATTCCCTCCTCTTCAGTATTCCCTCCTCTTCAGTTTTTTTGGGAGAGTTTGAGAAGAATCACTATTAGTTATTCTTTAAATGTTTGGAAGAATTTAACAGTGAAGTTGTCAGGTCCTGGACTTTTATTTTATGGGAGGTTTTTGATTACTGACTTGATCTCCTTACCCACTATTGGTCTGTTTAGATTTTCTCCCGCTTCATGATTCAATCGTGGAAGGTTATATGTTTCCAGGAGTGTATCCATTTATTCTGGGATATGTTGGTGTATCATTTTTCATAGCAGTTCTTATGATCCTTTGCATTTCTGTGGTATCAGTTACAATGTCTCTTTTTTCATTTCCAATTTTATTTGTTAATACTGTTTTTTTCCTTTGTCCAGCTAAAGGTTTGTCAATTTTGTTGAGCTTTTTAGATAACCAGCTGTTAGTTTTGTTATCTTTTTATTGTTTTTCTAGTCTTTATTTCATTTAGTTCGACTCTAATCTATATTTTTTCTTGCTTCTGCTAACTTTGTTTTTCTTTTTCTAATTACTTGAAGTGTAATGTTAATTATTTATTTGAAGTTTTTTTTTTCTTTTCTATTATAGGCATTTAAACTTCCCTCTTAGAACTGCTCTTGTGGCATCCCATAAGTTTTGGTAAGTTGTGTTTTCATTTTCATTCGTCTCAATATTTTAAAATTTCCATTTTGATTTCTTTTTTGACCATGAGTTGTTCAGGTGCATGTTGCTTACTTTCCATGTATTTGTGAAATTTCCACTTTTCCTCCTGTTACTGATTTGTAGTTTCACACCATTGTGATAAGAAAAGATGCTTGATATGATTTCAGTCTTCTTAAATTTGATAACACTTGTTTTGTGGCTCAGTATATCATCTGTCATGGAGAATGTTCTGTGTACACTTAAGGAGAATGTGTATTTTGCTGCTGTTGGATAGAATGTTCAGCACATGTCTGTTAGGTTCATTTAGTCTAATGCGTACTTCAAGTTCAGTGTTTCCTTATTTATTTTATGTCTTCATGATTTATGCAATGTTGAAAGTAGGACATTAAAGTCCCCTACTATTGTTGTATTGTAGTCTCTCTCTCCTTTCAGATCTATTAATCTTTGCATTATTTTTGGTGCTACTATGTTGGATACATATATATTTATAATTGTTATATTCTCTTGATGAATTGACCCCTTTATCACCATATAATGATCTTACCTTTTGTGACAGTTTTTGACTTAAAGTCTATTTGGTCTGATATAAGAAAATAATTATTTTTTTACAGCTTTATTTTTATTTCAAACTTTTATTCCTTGGGGTGGTAGAAAACTATTTTAGTCAGCTTTAATCTCTAAGTACCTCCCCTCCGACCTCAGCAAGTTAAAAAAGCTTATGTAGTATCAAGGTAATTGGGAGGAGGAACCCTTTAATCCTCCATGTTCTGTGTCTACAATGCCATCCTTTGAGATATTCAGGGTCCCATCAGGTCTTTGGCCACTTATACTTGCAGATCCGAAGAGATATACATTGTTTCTACTTTTATGACTCCTTCATTTTCTATGGCTCTTATGCAATACTTCCATAAACCTAGAAAATCTGAAAGTTTTCTCAGTTAATTTGGAAACTTTTTTTGCCAAGGTTGAGGACACACACCTGTGACACAGCCTCAGGAGGTCCTGACAACATGTACCCATGGTGGTCAGGGCACAGCTTAGTTTTATACATTTTAGGGAGACATGAGACATCAATCAGTGTATGCAAGAAGTACATTGGTTCGATGTGGAAAGGCGGGACAACTCAAAGCAAAGGCAGGAAGACTCGAAGCAGGGAGGGGGCTTGCAGGTCACAGATAGGTGAGAGACAAAGGATTGCTTGCATTCTTTTGCATTTCTGATTAACCTTTACAAAAGAGGTGATCAGGAACGCATTTATCTCAGAGAGCAGAGGATAACTTTGAAAAGAACTGGGGGCAGATTTGCCCTAAGCAGTTCACAGCTGCTTTTTCCCTTTAGTGATTATGGGGGCCCAGGATATTTTCCTTTCACACTTCCATGCCTATTGGGGGTGCTCAGAAGTCTTTATACTGCTCTTGCACCAGACTGGAGCAAAAGAAACTTTCAGTGGCTGCCTAAAGTCCAACTGGCCACCTGTCCCAGCTCTGCCTAGGCAATAGTGCCTGAGCTCTTCTGTTCTTGCCTCCCGTTTTCCTACCTGGCACTTCCTCAGGGCTTATTACCTTTCTGTCCGGGATCTGTACTAATTCCTTTCCTCGGACTCTCCTTCCCTCAAGCCTGAAGGATGCTTTTCTGTGCCAGGACGCATGGGCACCTCTTGTGTCTACCCTGTGCTCAGTATGGCTAAGTGCCTAAGCTTTTGTACCCCAAAAGCTACGATAAAACTTTCTTTGCTTTCTGCTGTTCTCTTTTATTTCCAAGGCAGTGTTAACAACCTATTCAATGGAGAGAAATGGCAAAAAGAGAATGGAGGGTGATAAAATACCAGGGAGAAATGTGGGTTAATAAACATGAACCATCAAAACAAAACACAAAATCCTGTGTAGTAGGTGGAATGGACATGTATTTTTGCTTCTGTAATGTGTGTGTGTGTGGTATGTATATATTGTCGCATACAGACATGCGTGTATGTTATAATTAACACATTTGAAAATTTGTCATTTGAAATAATTTTTCACTGAGACTGTTCCACATTCTAGGTTTGCTTCCTTTTAATTGGAGTTATAATAAGTGATAATTCCAGCAGATAAACTATTCTGCTGGAATATATACATCTAATGAGTGTTTCCTCAAAAATATTCACCTCAGCCTACTATATATCTTTTCCACTAATATTGCCATAGCCCCAAACATTTCCCAAGTTTTTTTGGAATTGTTCTTGTTTTATAAACCATGAGCTGAAAATGTCCGTAGTAAATTACTTTTTCATTAAACCCAACTTTATTCCCCACCCTTTCCCACCTCAAAATATAGCTCCACTTGATCCATTTGCCTCTAAACCAACCTTAACTTTTGATTGGTTATGAACTTGTTGTATAGAAGCAGTAGGCCAAAATTTTTCCTCCTTTAAAACCATTTAAATGAAATTCCAAAAAACTCTGAAGTTGATTTTTAAAGAAAAGCTCAAAAATTGTTTTAATGACTGTATCACTGACACAAATGTATAATTGCCAAAGTGATTACTCAGAAGCAAGCTTTTATTTGAATGAATACATGTTGGTAGCTTCCTTTAGAACAATAGTTCTCAACTTGGGAGGATTTTGCCCCACAGGGGACGTTTGTCAATTTCTGGAAATGTTTTTGATCGTCTCAACTGGGTAGGACTTGTTCCTGGCACTTGTGGATGGAAGCCAGGACTACAATAATCAGGACACTTCCCCACAACTAAGAATTATCTGCCCCCAAATATCAATACTGTCGAGGTTGAGAAATCCTGCTTTAAACAAATAATTACTTTATAGTCATCCCTCATGTTTTAATATACTTCAGAACTTCTGGTCACTTTCCTCCAGCCTCACGGCCTCTTTGAGATTTTGTTTCTGCTAAAGTATAAAGGGTGGGGACGAGACTGGGGAACCAGTTCCAGTGAGAAAATAGATGAGGAAAGGAATACTAGGAAATGTGTAGAGTAATATCTAAGTGGAAGTTTCCCTAGCAACCTTTGAATGCTTACTAAGAAGTTTATGTCTTATCTCAGGGATTTTTCCTGCCTAACATGGTACGAGTAGAGACTTGGGGCCTCTGATTTTCTAGGGTCATAACCCAGAGAGAGACTGTCTGTGCAATACTGTTACCGCACATGGGTCTTTGTTCTTAGAGCTCCCAAGGTGGTGGCGAGCGCTCCCGAGATGGCAGCAAGCCTTTTGTTCTCTGACCTGGGATTCTTGGCCTCAGGGATTCCAGGGAATGGCACCTTGGGCCATGTGGTGAGTGTTATAGCTCTTTTAGAAGCCATGGGTCACGGAAGAGAACCGTGGAACCTAGGGACTAATGTTCCGCTTGGTTAGGATGAACCTGGGCACTTAGCCATGCAGCAACAATGGCGAGCCTTTAGCCCCATGGGAAGTGGCAATGGGCGCCTCACTGGATCAGAAACACAGTGACACCCTGCGGGATCCGGGGGGGTGGAAGTCAGCAGCCGGTCCATGACGTCAGCGTTCAGCAGTGGTGGATGGCGAGCGAAAGTGCAGCTCAAGCTGGAACAAACACAGACCAGAAGAGAGTGCAGTTGCAAGATTTAATAGAGTGAAAACAGAGCTCCCATACAATGGGAGGGGACCCAAAGGGGTTGCCGCTCCCAGCTCCAGTGCCTGGGTTTATATCCCGATCATTGTCCCTCCTCCTGTGCTCTCAGGCGATATATGATTTGACTGTTTCTTTACCTCCTGCTTTTAGCCTAGTTTGTATTTTAGTGAGCCCTCTTTACTACCTGATTGGTTGGGTGTGAGCTGAGTTACAAGCCCCATGTTTAAAAGTGGGTGTGGTCACCTTCCCCAGCTAGGCTTAGGAATTCTTAGTTGGCCCAGGAAATCCAGCTAGTCCTGTCTCTCAATACCTTCCTCTCGGAGAGGCTTTCACCACCTTGTGGGCTGTGATCCCACTGCCCCATTCTGACTCACATCTGGACTTCCCTGTCCCTATCTAATCAGTCACAGTTAGCTGCCTTTGCCTTTTTATTCTCCACACTGCTCTTGCTCAACAGTTTCTGCATTTGAAGGCATGTTCTGATCCATTCTTTATTAAGCATTTGTTATTTCTGTGGAATAGCTTGATTTGCCCTGTGCCCTTCTCCTCCCTTACTGTGTGCAAGGGTAAAGTTTCAAATACCCCATCCCCCATATGAGGCCAGACATAGCTTTCCATAGGAGGGTTAGCTGTTTGGTTTTTACCCTGTAGTCCATAGTTCCACCACAGAGTTCCACCCCTATGTTGGTACCTTCCTGCAATTCATTTCAGTGTGTGGTCCCTTGAGCAGCATCTGTGGCTAGCCAGTTTTATTCTTCCAGGTTTGTCCCTGATATCTGATTCCCAAAGCAGAGATCAATGGGGAGGCCAGATCCTCCCAAACTTCAAAAGAGAAAGAGAAAACCATATGGCTCTGTTCCTGGATTAAAACATACCCTAGAAAGCCATGTGCTGGTTCTTCCACTCCTTTCCCTCAGGTACAGTGTCTCCAATGTCTGTTGCAGAATTAGAATAAATCTGTACATTTGAAAGTTCACCTGGAAATGTTTGGCCATGATTTCTGGGCTCTTGTCTGGTACTTCCCACTGCAAGCACCTCTGAGGTCCCATCCTCATCTGAGTGAATTCCAGCAAGATGCTCTCCCAGAGTTCTGCCTTCTGATCACTGTTGAAATAGACCTGAGCAAAAAGGACAAAGTGATGAGGTGCCCAAGCACACTGTGTATGTTCTGGTGTTAGGTCTACATCATGCTAACGTAGGCAGCTTGTGGCTCTGAGTAGTCTCCAGGTAGGTTATCCTATGGGAAGGGATTTCTGCTCTACGAAGAAGGCATATTTCTCACGTTTGAACCTGACATCTTTAATTTGGGTCTAAAGAGGCAAATTAAGTCACTTCTTTACCAAATGACTGAGTTGTCATGTGATACTATCAAAATCAAGGAGCAGTATTCA